TATAAAAATATTATTTATTTTAAAATAGAATTTTATTAAAATTCTAAATTTTTTTTAAACAATCTTCATTTTAGTAATATGTTAATAACCAAATAAATGCCTTATATTTATTATTTTCAAACCAATTCTCTAGAACAACAATATCTAATATTAAATATTCCTATATCATTATCTATCTTGTGGATTCCAATAAATAGTTGTTTAATTTCATCTCTTAGCGCTTCTATAGCAATACCCACTAAAAGTTCTACCGGCACCCCTATCTCAACAAGTTTTTGATAATAAATGATGCCTTATATTTGAGGCTAGTTAGCAAAACGTAGATTATGTAGTATAAAATAAGATATAAAATATATGCAACAATTATCACTCTTTTTGTTTAATTTACTCAATAATTATCGTAATTTTTTTTTTTGCCGCCTTATGTTCGTTATATTTTACGAATTGTATCAATAAAATGGAAATGTATAAATAATTAAATGAATTCTACAAAATATGACAAAGTTGAAGTGACTTTCATATTGTTATCAAGCAGTTACAGAACTCTAAAAAATTACGATATTGTTGATCCAGCTAAATAAAAAAGAGTAATAAAAACTGACTTATGATTAGTGTTACAAATCAGAGCAAAAAATGCAATCAATTAGTTGGCCAAAAATTTTTTAAAAATTGATTAGAAATCGATTATTGCCAACTAATCGATTAGTTGATATATCGAAATAGCTTAGATATAATTGTATAGCTACTAATTACAAGATTAAAGATAATATCATATAAAACAACTAGTCGATTAGTTGTTTAATAAAATTATTAATCGATTAGTTGCCAACTCGATTAACTAATCGATTAATAGAATATGAATTAAAGACAATAGGTAAATATAGTACATACATATATATATACATTTATGCATATATCACATACTAATACTGTCAAGTTTCTTTTTAGCTATAGCTCTAGTCTAATTTTTTTTGTTGCCCTGGCTCTGGATTTTTTTTTTTTTTTGTCGACTCAGCCCTGGATTTAATTGAGTATTCAAAAAAAAATGCATATAATTAAGTAATTGATATAAGCCTATTCTTTTTTTTGTCTTTGTTGCCCTGGTTCTGGATCTAATTTTTTTACCCTGGCCTTGGATCCAATCAAATATAGAGCAAAATTCTCATAATTATTTTTTTTTAAAAACAAAAAAGAAAATTAATCATATAGAAAATAAGCGTTTATTTTTTTTTTTTTTCTTTGTTATCCTGGCCCTGGGTCCAATTTTTCTTGTTGTCCTAACCTGCATCAAATTAAGTACAGGTCAGCATTTTTTAAAAGAGAACAAAAATATATATGAAATAAGCAATTGTTGTATATCTATTTCTTTTTCTTTGTTGTTCTGGCCCTGGGTCCAATTTTTTTTGTTATATCAATTCTGGATTACATTAAATATGAATTAGTAAATTCCAAAAATATTGTATGTGAAAAAAAATATGTGTACCTATTACCTCTTTTGAAATGTAGTATTTTAAAATTTTTCCATGCTTATGCTAAGCAATAACTGTTAAAAAAATACCAAGAATAGCTTTTAGATATAAATGTCTTTATACATTTTATAATTACACAATAACCCCATCTTGGATTATAATTATTTGAATTATAAATTTAAGAGAGAAGCACTTATTAGACTTATTAACCTTTATTTTACATTAAACGAAATGTCTTTCAAAAATCTAAAGAAACTAAAACTATACTTACCAATGAACAAAGAAAAGATATAATTAAGTACAAAGAAAAATTAGTTAAGCTGATCTCACCAGTTGGGTAAAGAGTCTAACAGTTTATCAAATTACTATTAGCCGTTTAATAAAGAATAAAAAAGAAATTGGAAAAAATCTAGTAGCGAAAAGACAGAGAACAGTTCAACATCCAGTACTCAAAAATACATTGATTGAATGGATCCTACAAAGCCAAGAAAGAATAATCCTATCTGATAAGATTATAGTTGAAAAAGCAAAAAGTTTTGCTAAATCGTTAAACATACCTGAGGATGATCTTAAGTTCTCACATAGTTGACTATATAAGTTTAAACAAAGACATGGATTAAAAAGAATAACAAAATACAGAGAAGATGCTTCTGTAGATGAAGAAGTTATCAGAACTGCTATTCTTGATCTAAGAGAAACCCTAAAAGATTATAACTTGAAGGATATATATAATATAGATAAGACTGGATTGTTTTATTAGTATAAATAAATAATACTATAGAAGTACTACAGGTACCAAATGATTTACTTGTGCAGTACAAGTAAATCATTTGGTAACCTATAGTATTCCCCTGTATACTAATTAATAGCTAAAATTTTTTTTTCTAGTCTAGAGCCAGACACTACACTGGCAAATGTTTATCTTAAAGGAAAAAAAATTAATAAAGAATGGCTAATATTGGCACTTTGTGCTGATGCTGATGGGACAAATAAAATAATGCTATTTGTTATTGGTAAGTCTCCCAATTTACATTGCTTCAAATCTATTAATTATCACAGCCTTCGTATTATGTATAATGCAAGTCAAAAAGCATGAATAACAGTTCGTTGTTTCAAAAATAGCTTAAGAAATTTGATTCGAAAATGGCTAGTCGCAAAGTAATTCTTCTAATGGATAATGCAAAAGTTCACTCTGTTGGTAATTTAAAACTTTATAATACAACTATTAAATTCTTTCCCCATATACAACATCTCGCCTACAATCTATAGATGCTGGTGTCATTATGTTCTTTAAATACTACTACTGAAATTATTTTATAAAGTGGCTTTTTAATCAGTATGAGTCTGAAAAAGATAATAAATGGGATATTCTTATTGCTATAAAATTCATTGTTCGAGGATGGAGAGAAGTATCATCAAAAACCATAAAAAATTGCTTTTAACACACAGGAATTCTTCTATTAGTTCAAGATAATGATGAAGAACCTACCACTAATAATAATGATGATAATATAATGGAAGAGTTGTATAATAATATTGAATTGCTTAATTTTTAAAATATAATGGATCTTGAAGAATATATAGATTATTCAAAAGAAAAAATTGTAACAGGAATAATGAGTGACCAGAAAATTTTAAACCAAGCCATGTATCAGGAACCTCAACAGGTTGAAAGTAATAAGGAAGATAACAGTATAAACATGCCCCAAATTACTTATAAGGAAGTATTAGATGCTGTTTACTAGATAGAGTTGTATCTTATGCAATAAGACCTTAATTATGTGGTTCAAACAGAACACAATGTAGCTTTGTCAAAATTGTATGAGTTAGTAAGAAAGCTCTGAAATGCTTCGTTTAAACAATTAAACATAGAAACTTTCTTTGAACCAGTTAGTAATATACATATATCATCGTACATAACAATAAAGCTAATGAAATTAACTTTTGTCTAACAATATTTCCTTATCTCTAAATAAATAATTAGGATGGCCAACAAAATGATACTGAATTGAATCCTGTGGTTGAGTAAAAAAAAATTTATCTTTTGATGTAACAATATAAAATTGTTCAAATTTATATTCAAGAAAAATGTAGTTAAAACATAGTTGTTAGATTTATTTAAATCTTATCTAGTTTTTTCTTTTTCTCTAAGTATAAAAAAAAATATCAAGTGCCTAATACTGTGATTAAATGTATATTTAAAAAGTTAGATACATGCATATTCAAATTAGAGTTAAATTTTGGCTTCGTTACAATAATTGAAGTAAACAAAAGTTATAATATAATAAAATGAAAAGTGTAAGTTCACAATTTAGTAAAATAAAAAGTGAAAGTTCATATGATAAAAAAAATTTTTGAAAGTTCATAATGTTCTTAAGGATATATCATATGTACGTACGTGCATACTATATGAACATACAAAAATATTATTGGCCAATAATTATTATACATGATCATATATTTGCTATATTTCTATTGGTTATTCTTTAAATGCAACCCTCTCTAAATGCATAGTTTGAAGCTGGTCCCGAGGGTATGCATTTAGAGAGGTCTGACTGTATAAATTTGCTAACACTTCTATTTGGGTTTAAAATTACAAAAGCAGATAGTGCTATTTTCTAAACTGTTTACAGGAAAGATTAAGAGTTATGATAAATGTGTCAACATAATTTTACTATGATAGATATTCAGCTTGAAGTAAAAGAATACAAAACTAATGATTCTTTCTAGAATATATTTGCAAAGAATCTTGTGGAGGAAATAATAAATACCAAATTAAAATCTATGGTTTGCAAATATATCATATTTTTGTATATTATTATATAAGTATAACAATCCTAAATTAAAACAACCATGACTTATAAATCATAATCATAATTGTATGATAATATTGATATTGGATCATGTAGCACATGTTAGCCAATTATTTGCTCTGACAAAGCAAATTTCATAATATTAATCATTGTATGACTAATAGCTTATACCTATGTATTATCAAATAGTGATAAGTCAAAGCTATATAATTATTTGCTTCATAGGTTTGTAAATGTAGATTTAATATTCTCAATGTATATGCTTTTTAAAACAAATTAATAATTTTTTATTATATTAGAATAATTGTTCACAGTGATGATTTATATGAAGACAAATATTATATCTTATTAATAGTAATTTGCCAGTCAACCAGAGAGAGGGGATATATTTAGAGAGGTCTGACTGTAGTAATAAAATTTTAATATGGTTTAATTCAATAACCAATAAGCCTA